ATGCAACAATTTAATGACATAGTTTATTGTATGGTTAAGTAAATCGTAAAATATTATTATGTCTAAAGTGAAGCGTTAAGGTGACTATCTAAACTTATAATAGGCTGGTGCCGTTTCATAATAATAAATAAATAAACAAACACTTTAGTCCATTCAAAATTTTGTCAAATATGTACCACATTTAGAGTATAAGTATATATATATTAATTATTAGTGTATTACTGATTAAAATAAGCGTGTATAGAACTATAATAATTTCCTTAATTTGGTCCAAAGTAATTTTTAGGAAGCGCCGCCCCCCACCCGGGCATGGCAGAAACCCCATTTGAAATTCTGCCAAAAACACTCACGTCTTCCCTCCATCATCGTTAAAAAAAAAACCTACAGTACCATTCCTACCCCAAAGTGGCCTATGTTGCCACGGGTTACCAAATAAAAAAAAAATGTATAGGAAGGTCGTCGTAAAATCAGTTTCTCCATAACGAAAAATAAACATTAGTAAGTTTTGAATTTATTTAAATATCCATTGCAGGGCTGTACCAAACACTTGAATACAGCTATTATATTGATTAATATATTATAATCTCGTTGTGGATTGTAAAAATAAATCAGTGATATATCGTTAATATTTTATGCAGGGGCGCCGAAATATAAAAATATATGTAAAATTTTTATGTTATTTCTGAATCAGTTTACATCAATTTTATATTTTATAAAATGTTACAGTCAACAATAAACATGTTATCATTGCGTTTTAATATGAAGAAGACGATACTGTGACCGGTTCTACTAAATAAGATATTTATTTATTTTTACGACAATTAGGAACTTGTTTTTAGACAATAGTTATTATACTTTACTTAATATTTATACAATTATATAATACTAATATTTTTGTTCAAACTAATTAGAATGATCTGATATTTATTCATTTTAATGAAATATAAAATTATATAGTTGGTGGAGTTTAAATTATCTAATTTTGTCAGTAGACCATTATATTGGAGTACTATATGATTATACGATTTCCTAAAAAATTGTTTCGTATTAGAAACATATAAAAAATGTTATTGCTTTTTTAACATTAGGGTCAAGAGTGTATTTAAACCAGCTAAAAATTATTTCAATGTAAACATTTATCTTAAATAATTTCCCCATCGGTTCAGTCATCTTAACCATGAGAAGGTTCACACAGGTCAGAAACCTTAAGAGGTAATATAAGTATTACAAGACGAATCATACATGCGCAACGTATAACATGAACGAATCCTAATAGCGGTTAGAATTATGAATAAATCATTTTTGAATAAATTCACTAGATAACTTTGCATAATAAATTGCAGCTTCTATGTGATTATGTGAATATAATAAACACAATTTAGTAATTTAATCTCACGAAATTTTAGAGTATTGTATTATCATTATTACCATTGCATTGTGATAATGTCTGATAAAATTCTGATTATATTACGGCAATATAATATCTTTTATTTAGATTTTAGGGTAATTAATTATTAACACAATTTTTTATTTCTTATTTTTTTTTTTTACTGGAGTTGAGTCTTAAAAATAACACTWAAACACTAATATAATACGGGCAATTATAATAATATTTATTATGCAAATAAAAAAACATAATACTCGGTATGCATTATGCATTCATATAGTATAACAATAACATACTTAATTTCTTGTATTCTATACTTGTTAACTAAAAAAAGCAACAAATCGAACCTTTTTTCGAATATAATTTTATGATTAATATATAGCTAATAATTTACATATCTAAAAATATCTCTAAAACTTTTCACTTAAAAATGATATTCAAAATTGTATCGACATTAACAAAAAATCATTAAATACATCACTAATATTTGTTTTTTCTTAATATCAGTAATTCTAAATAATTTTTTATATCGATATCATTTTATAAGAACATGATTTATAAAATTAAAAAATCCTACAGATAATTGGGATTTTACCGATTGTTTTGAACAATATTTGCAGCTCGGCATATAAAATTATTCCAAAAATTTAGTAGGTGTTAAACTTTTAAGTGCTTTATTTAAAATTTTTTTCTGAACCAAGTCTCTGTACTCAAATACTCAATACTCATTTTGGCTATAATATTAGGTGCGCATCAAACGTAATGTTATTAGATCATTTTTCGAGTTATTATTACACGTATCATTGTCTAAACGACCAACTATCTATCGTTCTATCATGTGAYCGATACTTAAAATCATTGCTGTAACGTTTTTATTATTCGGTCGATATGTTCTGAAACTGAACGCATATAATATACCTAATCAAAATAAGTCATGCAAATGGTTTGTTTAGGCGATATTGGTTTCATAACGTCAATGTGGATGGCGATTKAATGTGCGTGCTACGTGTAGGTATTACACTCAAACGTCACACAAACACACAAGCACAGTCGCACACCTTATTGTATACATTAGTGTATATTATTATGTACTTCGCGGAAACGGTTTGTCGATAAACTCGTACAAAATAACCATGTGTGTTGTACCGAACACGCCTTTTCGAAAGCGTTCGCGCTTAGAATATGATATATTGTATAAGTATGTAGGTATATGTTATAACTGGCCAATATAGTATTGAATATACTTGTTTTTGCCTCGTCATATTATAAGCACACGTATAGCGTTTTCAAAAAATAAACACGAACTAAATATAATTTGTTTACATTTCTACTGCTCTTTAACCGGATCCGTCCCGGATTGACGACAACGACGATTGGGGACACACGCGCCTATAATAATTAATAACTATATTTACAGCGATGACATATTATTATCCCATAAAGATTTGCGAAACCGTTTAAATAGTTCGGTACGGTATAAAATCAGAGATAAAAATTGTTAGAGTTAAGATAACAGTATCGTTGAACTGAAGTACTAAATTAATATACTAATTACATTAAAAATAAATATCGAGTTATTAATTATAGAAAATATTCATAGTCATCCAAAAATTTAAACACAAATATTAATTTAACAATTTTTAAATTTATGAGTTTTAGTTTGAATAATATTAGATARTCACTTAAAATGAACGATGCATACATTATTTTATGTACGTTTTTTGTGTTTCCTTAAAAAGCAGCAAATTTTCTAAATAATAYAAATAATTAACTTGTTTCCAAGTTTTTCTAATATCACATTATTCAAAATTCAAGTTTCTTCAAGACCTTTAAATCATAATAATATAAGTTACGAATAATTTGGGGAATATTTGATTCCGCCGAAACTATGTGTTTGGTAAATAGGTTTACATCGATTCCGTCGGCGRTTAATTCCACAGGATACCTACTGTTAAAAATATATACATTTCGATTCAGCCAGTTACTGTTTAGTGTTTACAATATCTACATATAAATAGTTATGAATATCCGACAATTCTATAAGGCCTGGGAATTATTTTTGTGCTAATTTTTGTCAATATAATGGCACTGCATTGAATTCTCTAAACATGTATCAGTCATTAGATTATTAAAAAAGTATTGTAATTAAGATAGAAACAAAAATATAATATATAATTTTCAAATTTTATAAAACTCTGAATATCCTTCACCAGAGCTTTTAACTAAGAAATAAAAACTGTAAAAAATTGGAATTCCAAGGTTATACATATATGCAAGCACATAACTCTTTTAAAGAATTCTTTTCATTTGTAAAACTAATTATAAATATAAAAAAATATGTATAATTTTTCAATTCAATAATCCTATAGTATCGCTCAACAACTTACTAATTTTAAACACTCTGGATAAGGCGCCTTGTATAGGCAACATGTTCTATAGGTCAGTAATTATTCGGTATAATAATATCATACAATACATTATAATAATTTATTATAATCAGTAATCAGTATCCATGCATGTAACTGCGAAAATGTATAGAAAATATGAAATTATTTTTATTTAGGTTTCTTACTATGATACTAGAGCGCATAATTACTGAAATACAGAAACTGTATGCGCTGTGATATTGTTTTTTTTCTGGATTCATACATTGATCTTCGTCGAAATTTTACATCATCATGTTCTAAATTTGTTGTAAAATTCTTTATATTTCGTAACTCACAATGCATAAATTTATTTGGATTAATTTACTGTACTAAAAGTTGTTATATGTATTATGTACAAAAAATCCAAAATTATATAATCTAAACAATCGGTTATAAGATAATATTGGTATCAAATATTTGATGATTTGAACTGCAGTCTGTGACGATATACCTATACATAGTKATAGTTCGATAACCATTCGTTACCACGTAGGTAAAAGTTTRTTAAAATGGCTTATCGAAGTCCATAGCTTGTATCGAATCACTTTAACGAGTTTAACGAAAACCATATTTTATAAAACGTTGTATCGAATAGTAATCGATACAATATGACGTATACCTAATTGTTATCAGCCTTGAATCATAAACTATTTTTTTTTCGTTTGCTCTTAATTCGRTCGAGTATCTAATATGCTTATATACGCATGCTGCATAAGCCATTGATCAAGGTGACTGGATAATGTCATGCCACAATCACATCATATTATATAAGTAAAATGTTTAAAACTGTTTGTTTCTCGTTCATCGTTGTAATATAATATTATAATTTGTATAATGTATAAAATATATTATATAAGTACCATAATTTTATCGATTAGAAAATGTCTATAAATTAAATTGCTTTGAAACATTTTGTCAACAATAAAATTATGATCTGATTAATGAATTTTATTATAAGTTATAACCTATAACATTACACAGTCTACAATAATATAGGTAATTATAATAAAATTGCATCAAACTCGTTTAACTTTATCATTGAATTTTAAAATGTAGATAAGTAGACACAGAGTGTGCGTCATTTCATTTAGAAATCTATAATAGTATTTCCCCCGCTACATATCATACACATATGATATTACTACCAATTTATTTCATAATAATTTCAATTAGTTGTCTGAAAGCTGTCCTGCGGTTATTTGAATATTATATACTACACCGGTATTAACTTTTAAGGCCACATATTTTATTTATAGAGCCTGTAACAATTTTTATAGATACTGTGTACGCTCATGTTTCACAAACAGTTCAGTAATTTTAGAAGTGTTGATTATTATATGTTTTAAAATATTAATTATCCTTTGCAACMAAAATATCATTTTGACCGTTGTCGCCATCACAAGTCATCTAACAAGTGCGTTTTATACTTTATTAATCATATTGAAAATACTTGATAATAAATTAAAATATTGTTTATTAATTATAATGCATTTATATGTTATACCTAAGTTGCATTGTTGTTATATTGTGATGAGGTTATGGGAGTATTGGATAACCATTAACCATAAGGTTTCAGGCGTTTTAGCGTAATGCCGTAGTATAATATTATCAATCAAGTTTATATAATATATATTATGTTATTATGATTTAAGAGATCAAGAATTATAAAATATGAATGTATGCAATTCATGAAGATTAAAGATATCTCTAATCTTCTTGATGCAATCTACAACTGCTGTTATCATTTCTTATCGGTTATCAATAATAACATTGTAATACAAGTTTTTTAAATGTTAACGTTTCAGTTTCAGACGTTTCAGTGTCGAAAATTACTGTCCTACAAAACTCGTAAATAACGTCGTTATTTGATGCGATTGGTGCTATCCAAGTCAATAATTGCTGTCGCTGATAAGTTCCGATTGTCGTCTGGAAAGTATTTCAAAATGAGTACTGTGAGTTTTACAGTAGGACCCAAAAATTGTTCAATGACGGGTGTGGATGTGTCTAAAATGTGTGCCGCGCACCAAGCCATCGATAAGCACGTTAAGGTAATATTGTCTTTTAGATCATTTCACATATGGTTAATTCTCATCAATAATCTGTTACCGTTGCTTATGATTTGTCCTCAGGACGGCATGATACTGGGCATCGGAAGCGGCTCAACAATTGTGTACGGTGTTCAACGATTGGGTAAGGTCATAAACTTTATATTGTTAGAGTAGTATTTATTCTTGTAGTTTGTTTAGCCTTATTTCAATTTATAGCACAAAGAWCAAAAGACGAGAATTTGTCTGTTGTTTGTGTACCAACGTCTTATCAGGCACGTCAGCTGATTATCGATTACAAACTTACATTGGGAAACCTAGACTCACATCCTAAAGTAAGTAACAAATATGATGTTACTAATACAATAAAAATGTTTAAATTTGGATGATCAATCAGATAGATTGTACTATTGATGGAGCAGATGAGATTGAAAATGGCACATTGACGTGCTTAAAAGGTGGTGGAGGATGTTTGACACAAGAAAAAATTGTAGCATCCTGTTCTGAAAAATTGATAATTGTTGCGGATAGAGCGTAAGCATACTATTCATTTTAATAATAATTCAATTTTGTATTTTAATTATTATAATTATATGTTTGCTATTGATGTTAAGTAAAGCGGTGAACCATTTGGGTCAAAAATGGAAGAAAGGTATACCTATTGAGGTAATACCTATGGCATGTAAAMCAATTCAGCAAAAGATTGAAGAAAAGTATGGAGGTGAAGCCATTTTGAGGATGTCTGCTGATAAAGCAGTTAAGTTAAAAATGATAAATATAGTTAATATGCACAATATACTCAAAAGGTTTTATTTTTTTTTTCAGGGACCTTTGGTTACAGACAATGGTAACTTCTTATTGGATTGGGTTTTTCCTGAAACAAAATATTGTTGGTCATCCGTTCATAATTACATAAAACTAATCCCAGGTATATTGTATTAACTGTTTGTAAGAACCATTACATTATAATTCATATATTATGTGTATTTTAAGGAGTGGTTGAAACTGGATTATTCATTGATATGACAAATGAATGCTTTGTTGGCGACCCACAAGGCAATGTACAAGTACTGAAGAAGACTGAACAGACTTTAGAGTTATAGGTTAAATCTAATATTTATTTTTAAATGACATGAATTATTTGAATTGGATAGCTTTTTCTCTAAAATCAAAGTATTATGAATTTTTACCAACTTTTAATTTTGTGTTGCTGAAGTCAAATAGCATTTTAGAATTTTTAGCTCTTCATACACTGTTTTTATAGTTTATATTTTATAATTTAAATTTATTGATAAAAGATTTATATTATTTAAAATATTTTATGTTTATTTATTAATTTTAGTGTTACCCAAGTTGAAAAATATATTTATAAAAGTGTAATTGTTCAATGTAATAGTATTCCTATTATTTTATTTTCGAGAATATAGATTATTTTTAAATCCTAAGATAAATCTTAATATTTATAATATTTATGATATTAATTTTCATCTTAGGTAAAATATCTGTAATAATAATTATAATAACTATTTAAAACATGAATACTTATTTTTTTGTACGTTTTATATTGTACACTAGTAGGTTAGTTATCCAATCAGTTAATGATATAATAATATAATTTTCCATTTAAAATAATTTTTCTTAATAAAGCAACTAAACATAGGTGTTGTCATTAAGAGAACGCTACTTAGATATTTGCTATCTGTCTTACAAGTGTGTTATAGAAAATTTATGCTCTGCGGATCACATTTAACTTAAAAATTAGAATGAATTGACCTACTATGCAACTTGATGGTAAAAATATTATCTGCGTTTCTATATTTTATTTTTGCAATAATTTAATTTTAGTTTACGCTTTATTTTTAAAACTTGATGAATAATTGAACTATAGTATAAACCCACATATTGTTTCAAAGCAATCCTAGAACGAAATGTGATTATAAATATGCAATATTGAACATTTGTAAGGTAATAAATGTAATGCACTTGTTGTGTCCTCTTAAATTATTAGAAAATCTTATACAAATATTAATATTATAATTTTTAATAATTAAATCACATTAAAATTTAAATACATTCTTTTAAATATATTAGAAGTTATCTATTTAATATAGATGAGATTCAATTAACTTCTATGATATTTTTAATTAAGTTGTTAATACAAATATCTCATTACAAAYCTTAGCTCTAACTTATATATACTAATTTAAATCCACATGAAGTACAATGCAGTATTGTCAAAGCCAATTATAAAGAAAAATATTAATAATATATTGATTGTTATATASTTAGTAGTATCTAGTCTTTTATAAGATATTAGATTTAGATATACATATTATTTACAAATAATTCGTTTTAGATTATTCAAATCATTTCTTAAGTGTACAATTTTAACTACTTAAATTGTTTGATTTCAAAGCTTTTTAATTTATTCAAAATAAATCTAGAAAATATGATTTTTTTTTCAATTTAACTAGAAGGTTATTTCAGACACACCAAGGCAAGTTGGTATCACTAATATAGTTGTTAGTTGTAGGCTCTAGGCACTAAACCACTAATCTTAGTTATTAGTTATAACTTATTAATTATTATTAGTAAAAAAAACTTATAATTGTGCCTCTAACACTATTAATAACAATATATAAAATATTATTAGATAAATAGATTGTCTGGACATCACATTACCATAGTTCTAACTATACAAAAAACAATTTTATAACTTAGTAATAGATTAATAATAATAATTCATATACCATCAAATACATTACTATTTATATGTTTATACTTTATTACTTTATATTACACCTATTTATAGGTTTTTTTTTTTTTTAATAGCACCAGTGAACTCAATTAGAAATCACTCCGTTCGGAATCAAAAACAGTGACCAAATATTATTAGGTATATACCTATACAAAAKAATACATTATAATATCAATTTCTATGATATTATAGATTGTTAAAAACAATAATTAAATAA